TAGCTCCAGCCGTCGCGATTTCATTGGTCACCAACAGTAGTATCTGGAACTGGTATGTCCGTAGCGCCGCGCGATAACCATCGGGACTTGTTCGCTCCAGCCGCAGCCATCGCGCTTCTGGAGTTGTAGTTCCCTGTCGAGAACAAAAGTAACTACTGTAACTGGGCATCGATGCTCGACCTCGGCGGCCACGTACTTCGTTCCAGCAGTCGCTCGAGCACTTCTAGGGTTTCGGTTTTGCCTGTCGCGATTTGGTCGGTTACTGCTGGCGTTGGTACTCCCGTCGCTACGTTACTTTTGAAATAGCGATTTTTGATATGTACTAGGCATGGTATAAAATAGTGTTTTTTTGAAAGATGAAACGCAAATAAAATAAAATAAAAATATTTTATTTGCTTTACATTTATATAAGTTTTATTGTTTATATCTATTTTTAAAGTTAGGTTAGACCAATAAAATTTTTTTTTGACAGTGGCTTGGATTTTGTTCTTGATTTTAACATTAAATATATATTATATTGCAATACACATAAATATGAGCCGTTCATATTATTTAAACGAAAATTGATAAAGAAAAAAAAAATAACAAGGAATGTCATCGTTTTTCTAAAAATGAGATAGATTGGCTATACACAATTATAAACTCGATATTTGGAAAATGAGTGGCGGATAAAAGTTACGTTAATCTACAAATATAGATAAGTTAGATATATTTTTAGCGAGGACCGCAACACTTTGGAAGTCGGAACCTCGGTTACAAAATCGCGGTATTTTGTCGCGGTATTTTTCTGGAACGGTCGCTATTGTAACGCGACTCATGTGGAACCGGTATTCTAATCGCTACTGTATTCTAAACTTTCTTTTTCAATATGAATAAAAACTTTATGAGTGAGAGGGCAACGGCCTAGCTACGTCGAAATACCGGTTCCCATTAGAACACCGAAGTTAAGCGACGTAAGACGATACTAGTGGATGGACGGGTGACCGGCTCGAAACTCTGTATCGTGCTGTTGTCGAAAAAAAGGCAAAAGTGTAAAATCTATAGACACTGCTCATTCATGCCGGTTCAAGGCCGGATGAGATCGGATATCTCGTGAGTAAGATTCGATTTAGAGACTTGCCAAGTCGGTAGGCCATTGACCATGATATGGCCAAAAACCGCGGTTCGGATTCCGCGTAAACAAAGTAGGCCCCGTCCAGATTAGCCCTGGCAGCAAAAAGGAGACGTTAACTGAAATCTTTTCAATGTGTTTTTATGAATTTAAAATACTATATTTATAAATTCTTACATGAGACATACTTTGCAAAGGTATACAATATCAGCGGTAAATTTGTCTTTAAGATACCGATGTGATTAAAATAGAACATTAATATTTTAAAGTAAACAAAATTACAGTTGGGGATTGGAACCTTTGGTGTGACACGGCAAAATAAAACACTAAATCCAAACCAAACCAAACCAAACACTTTTACTTTTACACTGGACGCGCGTTTCGCTAACCATGTTAGCATCATCAGCAGATGATTAAGACTGATTTAGAACTTTTTTATACTTAATCATCTAAAAAGCAAAATAAAAACACTAAATCACCACAATACACCAAAACACTTTTACTTTTACACTGGACGCGCGTTTTGCTAACCATGTTAGCATCATCAGCAGATGATTATAAACTTTATAATCAGTTTTTTTGTTTTGGTGTATTGTGGTGATTTAGTGTTTTTATTTTGCTGTGTAACACCAAAGGTTCCAACCCTCAACTGTAAACTTAATCATCTGCTGATTACGCTAACATGGTTAACGAAACGCGCGTCCAGTGTAAAAGTACCTAAAATTGTTTTAGTGTATTGTGGTGATTTAGTGTTTTATTTTGCTAAACAGAATTGTTGGTAAATAGTGTACCTTTGTGGTGAATTTATTTCTTTGATAAGTTCGGATGTCATTGAATTTTATAAAAATTAAAAGGTATCAATCATAACCCGACAAGTTATGAAATATTATGCTTCTTGTAAAATGAGGATTTACACCTCCAAAAACGTTAGCAGTTCACAATAGAACTCAATGGAGAAGAATAATTGTAAAGTCAGTTAAAACCGACAACCAAAAAGTAAAGAGACAAAAAAGCAATGAGATTTTTGAATGTCCGGAGTGCCGTAGACAAATAACATCAAGTATCGGGCTTTTCAGTCACAGAAAAGCTAATGAAAAAAAAACGACCATTTTCTGATGCATTTCGAATATTCGTCAGCGAGTAATGGCAGTATAGTATATGTATGTATGTTTTACTAGTAAAAATCACTGACATTTTGGTTTCTGTTGGATTCGCAGTGTTGTTTACAGAAAATAACTTTTATAGTTTCTAGGTTTGTCTTCCAATGGCGAACAACTATTTTCAACAAATTGTGGGTACAATAACCCAAATAAAAATTAAATTAGTTGAGTGGTGAAAAAATAAGTGATATAAAATAAAGCGTTGCTTAAAAATACTGTTTTTTTAACCACCACAACACAACGTAGGGTCCTAACCACTAGACGATCACGGCCAAGAAAAATCACAGATCTTCCTGGGTCTGAGTAAGAACAATCTTCGGATTGTCACGGGGTTTTTAACAGGACACTGTCTCCTCAATGAACACCTCAGTAGATTGAAACTAAGAAGAAACGGCGAATGCAGATTCTGTGGGGAAGATGGTGAAACACCAGTACACCTCATCACTGAGTGCGCCGAGACGACAACCATTCGTGCCATGAATTTTGGTACGACTGATATTGGAGATGGAGAACTACCCTCTATAAAACCGTCCCAGATACTGGCTTTTGTCAAAGCCCTGGGACTATATGATGAGTTATGATTCAAGAAAGGGGGACACAATGGATCTGTAAGGTCGAAGTGATTAACCCCCCTCCCACTCATTCTAAATTCTAATTGTAAAAACCACCACAACATGTGAGCTATAAAACAGGACTAAGATAAATAAAAATACTGGACAGGTTTTCAAAAATATTATCTTGCATACACTGCTGTAATACCGCAAGAACAGCAAGCATTTTACCAAAAGTACACCGACGTAATATCTCCATAAAAATATAATATGATTATGTTGTCTACGCTTCAGTATATAAACACTGTTTATATGGTTTAAACAGTTGAACAAGACATAAATTGAGTCGCATTGGACAGGAAATGTGCGGATATTACAGCAAATGCACAGTATTATAAACTGAATTTAGAGCGATTGTGTTAATAGAATTTAAGTCACGGCTTATACACAAATCGCACAAATTCGGGAATATTGTTACAAGACAGGTTTGTTAACAATTTGCCATGGCATTACCAGGAAATTATTTTGTTAGTAAACATTGTAGGTGTGTGTGCAATAAATTGGACATGAGGTTAATCAACTTTTAATAGTTGATATAAATGTGTGTTGTTATTGTTATTATCTACACATATTAGGTATACTATACAGGGTCCGGCAATAGTGCGTCGGGCATCTGTAGCTCCTAGAATAAAAAACTTGAGATTTTTGTTTAAGTGAAAACCTAAAGTATGTACCAGGATGTATTTCAGGAAAATATTTTAACTTCTATAGGGTGGCTCAAAAAAGTGTGAGTGGATCTGGATGATTTTTTTAAATAGAACACCCTGTATATTATTGCATTTTCGGCTTCCTTTCAGATCACTTTACATAATCCTAAGATCAGTTAAGTAAACAGTAAGTAAACAGTTTTCGATAGTTTCAGAGATATTAATCAAAAATACATATTTTTCAGCCCGTCTTAAAAAAATGTATTAAAAATACAAGAACTGTTCTGAAATCAAAATTATGTTAGGTATTTACTTTAAATGATCTGTTCTTACTTTGCTATAAATATGGTAATCGGAAATGAAACAGGATGTTTAATATTCTACGCCAAACTTTCTAAAATATAACATATTTTTTCTTTGTTTTTTTTTAACGAAACACCCTGTATATTATTTTTTTATTAGATGGAGAGTTAAAGAATGAACATTTTTTGTATTTAAAGTATTTTAAAATTTTTAATAGTTTTGCAGATCACGCAGTATTATTCCATATTGCGCTTTCAATGGTAAAATACACGAGAAAAATCATTGGGTGGCTTTGATAAAAATTTGCTGTGTGAAAATGCTATATGAAATATAAAACCGCGAATATCTGCGAAGCCGTTAAAAATTTTGAAATACTCTAAATACAAAAAATGTTTATTTTTTAATATTGCCTTTCTTAAATTAAAAATTAAAGTCTTCATAACCCCGCGTATAATAGACAGATTGAGAGTAACTTTAACTTGATAATAAAATATCAAGTCAAATAATTTAGATACAAATTGCTTAAAAAAAATAATCAAAATCGGCCCACTACCAATCACTGTATCTAAAAAAATAAAACTTTCTTTGCTGCAGTAAAAATTTATTGGACTCCGAAAACACATAATCAAAGAGTTTACTAACAAATATTGGCGTATAGAATAGCGTCCTAAGCGAAGAAGAACAGGCTAAGATAAGATAAGGTAGATGGTATATAAATCTTAGTGATTGCAATCAGTGGCGTCAATATCTTGAGAGAGACAACATTTTAGGTGCTAAGAGAAGAACATAAATAATAAAATAATATTAGTTTTAACCTTAAACAGAAAATTCTTATATAAAATGTTTTGTTCTTTGTGATTTTTTTTGTACGGCTTATATACCGAAAAGATCTTTGAAACATATAAATTAAAACACAAATCTCAAAATAATTGAATAAAATTTTAAATTCCTGTCTGTATATCGTAATAACTATTATTACATTTATTTCAGTATTAGAAGGTGAACTTGAAATCGTATGAAACTAGTACTAGATTAAATGGTATTTATAAAAATATTCACTTTGTT